TGAGGGAGGGGTACATGTTGTCAGATTGAGAAGAAAATTCACCAGGAGAATAGAATGAATTCTGGGGGTTGGAGACTTTCCGACTTTCAATTTTAAGGACCACCCTACTGAGGCTAAACTTCAAGGTCGATGAGGGAGGGGTAAATGTTGTTGGAATTTGAATAAAATTCACCAGGAGAGTTTTCTTGACCATCATAACAAATTCCGGTGGCTGGAGCTTAAAATAAATGAATTTGAAAATGTACATGGCACTAAGGACCACCCTAATACACATACTATACAGAGATGCTGTATGAGAAACCAATGTGATTTTGGAACATTGAACAATGTAAATCTATTCTAGTAGACCCCAACAATGGAATTATGATCAGTAGAAATGGCCATGACATGGGACCTTTAAGTTAGCTTAGAGATAATACACTTTGATTTATTTCGACAATGGCAGGGTGAAAAGGTTGCTGTTTGCAGGCTTTCTGTCAGCAATAGATAGCGGTGTAATATGAGTTGCCGGGTCTATAGCATTATCAGTTTACAATGGATCTGCAAGACCAGAAAAAAAAAAAGGCACAAACAAAATAAAAGGCTTGTGAGGGAAGGGAATATAAGACTGTTGGTGTTTCAAAAAGGCCTTTAACTTTCATGCAGACCCCTATAGAGCAGCTTCAAGCTTTATCGTTGCAATAAAGATAACAAAGATACATCAAAGAGAGCCGTCTCCGCGACAGACCGCAGACGCTACTGTCGGGCGACTGTGAGAAATCAGACCAAGGAGATAATGTGATTGTATCATTAATGGATGGGAGGAAAACTACTGACAGCTGGCTTTCTGTCTTATGTGGAGCTTAAGTATGGGAAACAAGTGCAGGCTGGTTATCTGGGTTCTAGCAATCACTGCCTGTCAGCTTCTCTTTGCAGACAGAAGACATTGTTGTAAAAAATGTTTATCCAATGTCGCTTTGAGCTGGATTTCTCTAAAGGCTGACAGTATCTGTACATCCACATCTGAAGGGCAAAGACAAGTGTGTGTGAGTGTGTGTGCCCAGGTGGGCTTTGACATGACAGCCAGTGCCTTTAGCACTAATTACTTGGAAGCGTTATCAGTGATTCGAGTGGCACAGAGCCACAGTGGGGTCACTTAGCGCTGATGCTCCTAGCCCTTTGTGAATAAATTGATACTGCAGATGGAGCAGGACACTCCCTGCTGCTAAATCACTAGAACACATAAGGGCAGGGATGTCAGCTGTGTGATTATCTGTGGAAATCCCACAACAAGCAGGAAGGAGAAAGCAGGAAATGTGAACACTTCCTATTAGAAAGGAAAAGCAAATGTCATGCACGTGACATCCAGAGATAAATATACACTGGGGAGATTTCTAATAAAAAGGAGTGAGGTTCAATTGAATAAAAGTAAGAACATGAGAGAAGTACAGGGGCATTGTGAAATCACAGAGTACACTGGCTGTGAGACGAGGTAATGGAAGGAGACAGAGGATAATTAGAGGAAAAGGTGACATTGTAGAGGTTAGTGAGAGCAGGAGGAGAGGGGGAGGGGGAGCAGAGCATGTGATGGGATATTTTGGGACACAGCCATTTTAACCATTTCATACTACAGCATGTGTAAGAACATGCCGAACACAAATCACTTCAGAAATATAACACCACAAATCAAGAAATGTTTGATTTAATGCTAATCTAAAAATAATGTGTCTGTCGGATTCACAACTTGAAGGGTGCTGAATGTTTGTCCATGAATAAATGGCATGATGTTAATGTTTTGAAGGGTGTTTTGATCACTAATGTCCAGTATAGTTTCTACTTTAAAGTATCTAATGTACATGTAATGTTCTTGTATAAATTCATAAAATCACTTGTGCTTTAACGAAAATTGTTTGCGTGGTTTTATGCAATTGTAAACAGACACATTCCGCCTACAGGTTTGAAATAAGGCTTTGTTGTCGGCTTCAAATCTTTTCATTCACATAAATGTGGTCACAAAGGCGGCATGGGGCCAAGTCATTTATAGTATAGTAAATGTTGGGAAAGCCATATTATGTAATGGTGTAATCTGTGGAAAGGATGGGTGGTCTTTGGGTCAGATTAAGGCAGATTAACGTGACGATTTAGGAAATCAAAAGCCGAAAAGCTGGAATAGAATTTATTTACTGTGGAAACAATATGCCGATGGAAGTCTGGCTCTCGCTGTGTACTCACCAGTTAAACTCATTGTAGTCGTTATGTGCTTCCCACCAGAAGTAGAACCAGACCAGCAGCAGACAGAAGGTGAAGAGGAGGATGATGGACCACAGCAGCTCCCACTGCGTACACACAGGAAGAAATACAACTCATTATTT